TTGTTACCCAGGCTGGAGTGCAATGGCACGATCTCGGCTCACCGCAACCACCGCCTCCTGGGTTCAGGCAATTCTCCTGCCTCAGCCTTCTGAGTAGCTGAGATTACAGGCACGAGCCACCATGCCCAGCTAATTTTTTGTATTTTTAGTAGAGACGGGGTTTCACCATGTTGACCAGGATGGTCTCGATCTCTTGACCTCGTGACCCACCCGCCTCGGCCTCCCAAAGTGCTAGGATTACAGGCGTGAGCCACCGCGCCCAGCCCTGATTGTCACTCTTAACCAGATGACACGTTGTTCATAGTTTTTCTTTCTGTGCCCCCATCTCCTTATTGAAGCTATACTTTGGACAGATTTTCAAAAAGTTATGAATGATCATCAGAATTCAGCCAGGCAGGTCAGGCATGGTGGCTCACGCCTGTAATCGCGGGACTTTGAGAAACTGAGGCAGGAGGATCACCTGAGATTAGGTGTTCAAGACGAGCCTGGCCAACTTGGTGAAATCACATCTCTACTAAAAATACAAAAATTATTAGCTGAGCATGGTGGCACGTGCCTGTAATCCCAGCTACTCGGGAAGCTGAGGCAGGAGAAGTGCGTGAACCTGGGAAGTGGAGGTTGCAGCGTGCCAGGATCACGTCACTATACTCTGCCCTGGGTGACAGAGCAAGACTGTGTCTCAAAAAAAAAAGAATTCAGCCAAACAAACTAGTGTTGGCCCATGATCAAAAATAAGTTGCCATCTAAGCAAGAAAATGTTTTAAAAATGAATTACAACATTATTCTTTATTTTTACCAACTTTTTTCCTTTTATTGATTTTCACCTATGCCATGAACATTGCTTTTGCCTATCTAGTTGGGATTTTATTAGTTGGTTCCTTCTTCAAAACAGAAGGGGGGAAATAATCTAATTATAATAAAGATGATACTGATAGGAAAAACTAACTTTTACCGAGCCTTTAGCGTAAGCTAAGCACTGTACCAAGAACTTATGTAGGTTTACTCCTCACCAGAACCTTATAATGGGTGCAATTATGGAATGTTACAAATATGAAAACTGAGGCTTAGAAAGATTAAGTAATTTGTCCAATGTCACATACCTACCAAGAAACAGACATAGAACTCCAATCCGGATGTAATTTCCAAATCCACATCTCAGTACTTTAGTAAAAGCTGTCATTCTTAATCTACTGGAAAGGCTAAGCACTCTGAAAATAATTCACAACCAACACTGTGCTATTTTCCTGACGTTACAGATATAACCAGACTGATGTAAAAGACCAACCCAATATACAATTCACTTGACCAAGATTCTGTAAGTGTCATTTTTGTATGGAAAATCCTGTGGATCTCACTTTGTTTTGTCACTCTGCTATTCTCCTCTTCTGAAATGTTATCCACATCATATGGAACCTGACTAAATTAAAACATATCAAATTAAAACATATCCTTCAGGTAAGCTAAGAAAAGATAAAAAATGCAAGACATAAACTTTAAATCAACCACTAAAATTATAAAACAAAGAGTTACAGCTAATAAGCATAAGGAGAAAAATCGGGGTGATTAAGAAGCATGTAATCAAAAAGAAGACAGAGAACAAAGAACAGATGAGACAAAGAAAAAAAAAATCAAGATGGCACATTTCAACCAAACCATATCAAAAACCACACTAAACATAAAACACCCAATGAAAGGCAAAGACAATGCCAATAAATTCAATAGCTTAAATGAAATGGACAAATTTCTTAAAACATACAAACTACCAGAATGTACTCAAGCAGAGACAGATAAGTGCTAGTCCTACAGCTATTTAAAAAGTTAGACCTACAGTAAAAGAAAAAAGGAAGTGGACACACTTGCTCACACCTGTAGTCCCAGCCATTCAGGAGGCTTAGGCAGGAGAATCACTTGAGTCCAGAAATTTGACCCTGTCTCTAAATTAATTAATTAATTAATTCATTAATTGTTAAAACTCTCAGCCTGAATGCATTCACCAAGGAATCCCATCAAACATTTCAAGCATAATGCTAATTCTATATTAATTATTCCAAAAAATTTAAAATAAGTTAATATTTAACAACTCAATCTACGAAGACAGTAATACCCTGAAACCAAAATCAGACAAAGACATTACAAGAAAACAACAGAATGAACTAGATGCAAAAATACTCATAATTTTTGCAGATCAAATCCAAAATATATAAAAAAGATAATACATCATGACTAAGTGGAATGAATTCCAGGAATGCAAGGATAGCCTAATATTTGAAAATCAATGTAATTCACCATATGAACAGACAGAAAAAGCAAAATCACATTATTATATTTTAAATAATCTACTGGGAAGCTTATCATCTCAATAGATGCAAAAAGCATCCAGCAAAATTTACATCCATTGCTGATTAAAAATTTTAAAAATCAGCAAAGGAAGAAAAACTTTCTCAAGCTGGTAAAGGGTATGCATCTAAAAACTATGGCTAATACATACCTGATTTTGAAATATTAAATGTTTATTCCCTAAGATCAAGAATGAGGTATGAATGTCTACTATTACCACTCCTATTCAACAGTATACAGAAGGTTCTAGCCAATGCCATACAGCAAGAAAAAGTTATAAAAGGCCTCTAGATTAAAAAAAAAAGAACTTGATATTCACAGACCACATGATTGCCTATATGGAAAATATGATACCATCTACAAAAACATTACTAAAACTAATAAGTGAGTTTTGCAAGGCTGCAAGATACAAGATGAACATACAAAAATCAGTACCATGTAAGTGTACTTAATAAAAGCATGTATGAGGTTAAAATATATTTTAAATAATCTACTGGGAAGCTTACAAAAACGCAGCTTACAAATAAGCTAAAAATTATAAAACATGAAATAGATATATTTATATGCATGGAACTGGGACAGTTAATGTTCTTTACTTGCTTTAAATATTTTTTATAAGCTTCTGTTACCTCACTTATTCTTGATGAAAAATCTTCTGGTCCTCAATTACTTAGAAAGTAAATGGATTCTCAGTGCCATATTCAGAGACAAAACTGATGGCAATTATGATTTTGAGATACTACCATACAAAGGGAGATTCACCTGTTTTTCATGGAAGTCTGGTTTCCTGGCAAGAAGATCCAGGTACATTCATAGTAACAACTTCAAACAGAGAAACGACCTTGGATTAAAGACTCTGATGTATACGTGAACATGTAAATATACTGGGAAGACCTGGAACAATGCTTTTAACTTAAAATTGAAACTAGAATTTTAGGCTGGGCACAGTGGCTCATATCTGTAATCCCAACACTTTGGGAAGCAAAGGCAGGAAGAATTTCCTGAGCCCAAAAGTTCAAGACCAGACGAGGCAACATGGTAAGACCCCATCTCTACAAAAAATTTAAAAATTAGCCAGAGATGATGGCAAACGTCTGCAGTCCCACCTACTTGGGAGGCTGAGATGGGAGGACCACTTGAGCCCAGGAGGGGTCAAGGCTGCAGTGAGCTGTGATTGTGCCACTGCACCTCAGTCTGGGTGAAGAGCAAGACCCTATCTCAAAACAACAACAACAACAACAACAACAAATTTTATGAAGATAAATTTGTCTACATTTTGTTATCAATGTAGGTATACATTCCTGCAAATTCACATATATATATAAAATACATATATAATTTAGAGAGATTTGCTTTAGGCTAGTGGTTTCCAAACTTGGCTGTATGTTTATATCACCTGGAGAGCTTTAAAAAATGTAATGTTGGCCAGGCACAGTGGCTCATGCCTGTAATCCCAGCACTTTTGGAGGCCGAAGTGACGGATCACGAGGTCAGGAGCTCAAGACCATCCTGGCCAATGTGGTGAAACCCTGTCTCTACTAAAAATATAAAACGTATCTGAGTGTGGTGGCATGTGCTTGTAATCCCAGCTATTCAGGAGGATGAGGCAGGACAATCACTTGAACAAGGGAGTTGGAGGTTGCAGTTAGCCGAGATTGCGCCACTGCACTCCAGTCTGGCAACAGAGCAAGACTGTGTCTCCAAAAAAAAAAAAAAAAAAAAAAGGAAAGAAAAAAAGTAATGCCCAGTTCACACTGAAGAAAAATGATGAAATCAGAATCAGGATGAATCAAAAGCCAGGCATCAGTATTGTATATAGATCCCAGATGATTCCAGTGTGCAATAAAGTTTGAGAACCACTATTTTAGGTCAAAATTTGATAATGGCATTATTATCAAATTGGTAACTTAATTTGGAGCCATTATAGGTGGTTTTAAGTCTCTAACCACTTGGACTGAATAAATTACCAGGGGAAGCAATAAAAATCTGCAAAATGCCATCTCTGCACAGGGATGGAAAGCTGGAGTTCAGGAGATGCTAAAAATATATGACTCAAAGAAAAAAGGGAAGGGATGGTATTCTATTTCCAAATTCCTTATAAAGGTTATTTATGAAACATCAAGTCACTCCAACTGACCAAGAAAGCCAGCTCAGAAACTAAAATCATAACCCAAAGAGAAGAAACACTCTGAAAATGATGCTTATTACACGAGGCACATTTTATACCCAGAAAACAGGATGCTTCCATTTGAGTATATCACCATCTGTCCTCCATACATAACTCTCACCTGATTCTTAACAGAAAATCCAGAAATGTACAGGATTCTCAAATAAATTAAGCGTGTGCTTTCAGATTTACATGCTGAAAAAGATATATAAACTCACGCCCATGGAGTTCATGGGACAACAAAGGTCTCTCAAAGGGGCAAGATTCACTCAATGAAATTTGGTTGACAATAGGTCATTCTCAACCTCTGTCACCTGTGTTACTTTTCTCCATGTATGTAACCAAACTTCAGATGACTGTCCTTTTTTTCTGGTTTAAGTGGGGTTAGGTGTGCATTTGCAAAAGTGAATGGGACATTTGGGGCTATCATTTACAGCGGATCCATGATACTGCTATGAGAACTAGAACAGCAAAACAGTTTAGTGACATGACTTACCCTATGGCACATGTAGGATCCACCTTTCTTCACCCGGTCTTTCCCAGAAGGGGGACCTTTCTACAGATGAAGAAAAAAGACTACATTAGACCAGAAAGCAAAGCTGCGCCTTACATAGTGGGAGAGAACCCACTTTGATCCAACTAGCTCTCTCATGGTTGCCTAAACTCTCCACATGCATGCATTTCTACCCCTAAGCTTTGTATCTGTATTCATGGGCCCTCCCAAATGCCTGCCTCCCCAAATCCTACCCACCCTCTAAGGCCCACTTCAAGTTCCCACTCTTTGGTGAAGTCTTTGTAACGACAGGAAGCAATCCTGCCTCTAAGTCTCCATAGCATTTGTTGCCTAGATGACTAATAAGCAGCTTGGTTGCACCTCTTACCATGTCATGTGAATATGCAAATTTATCCTGTGTTATAATTGGTTTACTCATCTACACTGGCATGCCTCTTTAAATTATATGGGTTTTTTTGGAAACAAAAAAAATTGTTTGAGACTCCCTCTGTCACCCAGGCTGGAGTGCAGTGGCATAATCATAGCTCACTACAGCCTTGACCACCTTGACTCAAGCAATCCTCCCTCCTTAGCCTCCCAAGTAGCTACACCCACAGGCATGAACCACCACACTCAAGGTAATTTTCAAAACTTATTATTTGTAGAGACAGGGTCTCACTATACTGCCCAGGCTAGTCTCGAACTACTGGGTTCAAGTGACCCTACCACCTCAGCCTTCCAAAGTGTTGGGATTACAGGAATGCACCACCACAGCAGGCCAGAATTATATGTTTTTATAATCCCACTGTGTAACACTTAATAATAAACACTTTGCTGATTGAATGAAAGAGTCTGCTTGTTAGCCTTTTAAAAAAAAATTTAGGTGTGGTTTATTGATATGTAATAATATACAGTAAAATCCCATCTTTTTAAGTGCACAGTTCCAATGAGTTTTGACAAACATATATAATCATGTAACTGCTATCACAATCAAGATATAGTACATGATTTGTCTTAAAAAAAAAAAAAGGGACACACAGTGCTTTCTATGAACCAGGCACAGTAATATTTGAGTACTTTACAAATATTAACTCAGGTATTCTCGACCCAGCCTTGGAGGTAGATTAAGTAATTGGCAAAGGAAGTGCCACAGCCAGGCAGCCTAGCTCTAGAGTCCATTCTCGAAGGCACTCCACTGTGCTCCCACTTAGAGACCAGAACTGTAGGAAATTAGGCAGAAAAGAAAGCAAGAAAGAGCAGTGACTACCACTTTAATGAGAATTAAGATCTATACAGAGCCAGTATAATGGCAAGAGCTTTTTCTAGAAAGGGCTTCAGATAAAAGTTCAAAGGAAACAAAAATCCTAAAGCATCATTGCCAAGATAAAGGCCTCAACATCAGGTAAGCTATACAGAGTATCTGAGAGGTGCCAATAGGCTTTAATAAGCCAGAACCATATCAGGGGAGTCTGTGGGGATAAGGATTTATCTCCTTTTTTTTTTTTTTTTTGGTTCAAAAAGACAACTTGTCACACAACTGTCTACTATTTGCTTATCAAAAATGTGAGAAGCTAGGACCAGGTTGCTCCTATCTTACTTTTTCCTTTTCCTATGAACCACCTATTTCAAGGGCCCTTACTTGAGTGGCAGAAATTAAAAGAACCACATTTTCTCCAAGCATGGCTGATGTATTTTCTTGCAAATGTAAACTATGTGGGCAGAAGTGCATATTATCTTCTAGGCATTTCCAGGTACAGATGCTCCTTAGCGTGGGATTAGGTCTTGTCCTGATGAATCCATCATAGGTCGAACATTTAATACACCTAACCTACCCAACATCACAGCTTAGCCTAGCCTACCTTAAACATGTTCAGCACACTTACGTTAGTCTGTAATTGGGCAAATCATGTAACACAAGGCCTGTTTTACAATAAAGCGTTGAATATATCATGTAAATTAATATTGAACTGAAAGTGGAAAACAGAATGGTTGTGTGGATACTTAAAGCTCAGTCTCTCCCAAAGGCATATCACTTTCGCACAGCTGTAAACTCAAAAAAATCTTAAGTCAAACCATTGTAAGTAGGGGACTATCTGTGCTTAGAAACGATCACAGACAAAGCCATTAGCTATTCCTCCTTCATCTGCAGGGCTACAATATTTCCAAAGCCTTAAATGCTTAATGTTACATTAATAAACTTTTATCAATTATAAACAGGCACACTGCAAATGTGAAAAGCTGCATGTCAAAATAATGGCCAGCAGCAGTTTTCTCCCCAGGAATATCTAGAACCTGACAAACATTCTGAGTGAGTTTATTATTCTATAAAAGACGATTACCAAGAATTCACAGTAGCATCAATGAAAGCATTTCTAACTGTGGAACTCTCTCATACAACGGCCACACTCTCCTATACTGTTTCTTGCTTGACAATTCTTGCATTACACTGCTTTAGGTGGTTCTCTGCATGTTGTTACAATGTATCAAATGACAGTTTAAATTGTGATTCAAGTCTCTCACAGTATCTGCCAACATGCAATTTAGACTCCTCAAGTAGATCTAGGAACAAGAAGGAGCTGATTTGCAAACGAGAAGGCATGGGAACAAAATAGTTTCCTTTCATGATCAACTTCAATGAACTAAGTCTGTAATCAATAACTATGACACTTATCAGAGTGACATGAGTACTAAAGACAGTCATCTCAGGCTGACACAACTGTAGCCCCTAACACAGTCCTCAATTTAGGTGACTGCTCAGCTGGTTCTTATAAATAAAACTCTTTTTTGCTAGCAAACAACATGATGATTAGCTAAAACTGTTTGAAGTGTTTGCCACTTTGCCAAGAAACAGAAAAATGACTAGGAGGGTACAGTGGGTTGAAGAGTGTTCGCAAAATTCATGTTCGCTCACAGCCCCCATGTCTGACCTGATTCAAAATAGGAACTTTGCAGATTTGTAATTTTTGTAATTAATATAAAACCATATTGGATTAGGGTAGGCTCTAAATCCAATGACTGGAGTCCCTGTAAGACGAGGAGAGGATGCACAGAGAAACAATGACATGTCTATGGGGTGATGGAGGCAGGGACTGGAGTGGCATAGCTACAAGCCAAGGAATGCGAAGGATTCCCAGAAGCCACCAGGAACGATCCTCCCTTGGAGACTCCAGATGGGGTGTGTCCCGGACGGCACCTTAATTCTGGACTGCTGGCCTGCAGAACTGTGAAAGGATAAATTTTTGTTGTTTGAAGACATTGTGTGGTAGGTTGTTATGCAGCCCTAGCAGACTAATCCAGAGAGTTGGGGAAGAGGGGTGTCTCCATTCCAGTTTGTGAAAGAAAACATTAATACATCAAAATTAACACTGTCTCATGATCAAGTTATTACTGCAGGTTAAAACAACTTAAGTGGCTATTGGTGGTGGCGTTTAAATACCTCACCTGTTTCCCTGTATACCTCAGCAGAAAGAGAGGCTGTAGGGCCCTACCACCTCCACTTCCAGTCCTCAAGAGTCTCCAGGATGCACAAGACTCCACTTGGAATTAACCTAGACACCCACTAGCCGTGAACTAGATAAAGAAAATGTGACACATACACAACAAATAATGTTCTGTGCAGCAACATGGACAGAGCTGGAGGCCATTATTATTCTGTGTGAATTAATGCAAGAGCAGAAAACCAAATACTGCATGTTCTCACTTATAAATGGGAGCTAAACGTTGAGAACACATGGACACAAAGAACAAAACAACAGACACTGGGGCCTATTTGAGGGTGGAGGGTGGGAGGAGAATCAGGGCTGAAAAACTGCCTACTGAGTATTAGGCTGATTACCTGGGTGACAAAATTATCTGTACACCAAACCCCACGGCACACAATTTACCCATGTAACAAACCTGCACGTGCACCCTTTGCACTTAAAAGTTGGAAATAAAACAAGAGTTTCAGTGGAAAAACACATGGAATATACGGACTCTGCCTATAACCAGGCAGGTACCACCATGAATGCTGTCTCCAAAGGTACTATTGCTCATAACTGCTCTAGTCCCACAGACACAGAAATATTAACACGTTTCTAATGCTTGCATGGTTGCAAGGAAGAGCAAAACACACAGGTTTCTACATGTCACTCCCAATAACCTCGAAAGGCCAAGGTACAGGCAAGGTTCTCGGGGAAAAAAGATAAAGAAGCAACACTCAGTGTTAGCGCAGAGAAATCTACCCCTATTTTGAACACCTGGGAAGACATGAAAATCTTTAGCAATGAAACCAACCCACTACAGATGCCACAAACCACGTACCAGTGAGACTGGCCTGTCTGGAGGAGAAATGGTCTGTAAGGAAGAGGGGTGACCAGCTTGCTCAGGGCTGCCAGGACATTTTTCACAGCACCACGACTGTACTCTGTGTAGTCAAGAGACACATCCCTTTCCCTCCTTGTCATGCCCAATACATTGACAAGGAAAGTAACAGAAGGGATGGAGAGTGTGACAAATTTCCATCACTCAGCAGTCAAAAGGCACTGTTAGCAACCTGGATGGGACTGAAGACTATTATTCTAAGTGAAGTAACTCAGGAATGGAAAACCAAACATCATATGTTTTCACTCATAAGTAGGGGCTAAGCTATGAGGATGCAAAGGCGTAAGAACGGCACAATGGACTTTGGAGACCCAGGGGGAAAGGGTGGGAAGAGGATGAGGGATAAAAGACTACAAATAGGGTGCACCAGAATCTCACAGATCACCACTAAAGAACTTACTCATGTAACCAAACACCACCTATTTCCCAATAACCCAATGGAAATAAAAACATTTAAAACAAATAATAAACATGTTATTTGACATAATCCACAGTATGAAATGCTAAGCACCCATTAAAAAGAATGAGGCGCTTCTGTATGTGTATACTTTACTATCATTTTTACTAAAAAAATAACAGCATCAAGCATTTATTCTGACTTCCTTACAAAAACTATGCCTCAGGAAAATAGCAGAGTTATGAGTGAGTATTCTTTATAGAGGAATTCCAGATAATTAATGCAGAAGGAGTAATAGAATATC